GGAAGATGGGGGAGACCTCAGGAGCCACTTCCGTGAATAGAAGGTCAGGGTTCACCTGCAGGGAAGGAGACTAGAACAGAGGATGGAGGTGTGTGATGAGAAGGGAGCTATACATCCCAGTCTTTCCCTGGGTGATCACATGGGGTCATGCCAACCTAATAGCAGTAAGAACAGTGACTTGTGTTGATTGTACAAGGAAAAGAGTTCCGATTGTGGTGATTTCCCTCTGTAAATCTTACAGCAAAAACACCAGCAATTCACTGCTGGATGTGAGGCTCTTACTCAACCCCAAACTGTACAGAAGTGATAAGAAAACAGCAGATACCCGCTGCGGAGGAGGGTGTGCAGAGGACTTTGGCTCATATCTAAGCTAACATCCAGCCAGCACACGCCGTAATGGCCGTACTGGTTGTTTACAGCCTGACTCTAAACCAAGTGCTGGAGGCCCGTGCCTATGGGTGGTTAAACACGATGACATCATCCCTGACTCTGGCCATAGCATTCTAGCTGACTGTTTTGGAATGTGCACTGTGCATATTAAAGATGAGGTTAGAGATTTAGAAATGGTTTTGTTCGGCCCATCACTACTTTTAGAAAAGTGATCTGGATATAGGTCCTATTGATCCTTTGGGTTTCTGAAATACTTTAGTATTTGGTTCCAGATGAGGCTGCATAGCACTGGGTTCTAAACAGGTAAGGGATTAGACAATTTGTCAAATTTAGTACCTCTCCCACTCAGAATAGCTTACCAGAATAATATGTCTGTTGAGACTAGTTTATGTAGGGACACCCAACAAGAACTAGTTTTGAAACATGCGCCACCTTTAGTAGTCATTATTAGTACACAACTTTAGCCTATGTATACTTAAAGGCTTTAGACGCTTTTAAAAGCTGGCTAACATCACATAAGGGAAAAGTAAATAAATGTGTAGGTCGATTTGGTTTGAACATCTATTAGGAAGGACAACAATGTGTGTGCTTAAAAAGGCCTTTTTGGTTTGTGGCTGACAGCCTGCAAAAGCTGTCTAGATGTGGAATCCCACTTGAATTTTAAAAACAACTTTATTGAGGTATAAGTTACTTATCACAAAACCTGCTTTGTTTAAATAGTCGAATTCAGTTTTTCCTAGTAGATACACTAGATTGTATAACTTTCACTATATTTTTTTCAAGATAGCAATTTTTTCTTTTTCCTTTATTTGTAATAGAGCGTGTACATGTGCACATGAGCACGAAAGAGAAAGGGAGAGAGAACAGCCTCCACAGGGTCTGGTCATGCCACGACCTCCTTCCCACAGTCCTCCAGCCTGCTGGGTCTTGGGCACTTGCACGTGTGCCGGGTGTGTTTCAGGCTGATGGACTGGGACTCGAATCACGGGAGCCAAGTGGAATCTGTTTTTCTCGAGAAGTGCATTACTGATCACAGAGCTGACCCTATGACATGGTTAATTCTAAAACGTTGAGCAGAAAACTCACCCTCAGTAGTGAAGTGAATTTGGGCTATGAAGAGCTGAACAGGTCTGCTCGTCTCCTGGCCTCGATTCCTCTCTCTGTCTTCCTTCTTGCCTCCTTCCTCCTCACCTCCCTTCTTACTGTGTTAGGGACCGACAGTACAAACTGAAAGGTGATCTGTACCTTGCACGATCAGGAAGTCCTGTCATGAAGAATCATTGAAGAGATCTTCACATTCTGTTATGGACGTATCATCTCCAATAGAAGGGCTGTCCTGGGTATTAGGGCATCCCATTTATCTCAGCCCTGTGCCAGGTTCTCGGAGATTTAAGGACTCCGTTCAGTAGACATTTATTGGGTACCTGTGCTCCCTGTCACAGTAAAGAGGAATAAGAACTCATTCCTGCCCTGGTGTAAGCAGCTTTAATTCGGCAGTGGTGACTCAGCCTCAGTTAATGTTATAGGTCTGACTGACCTTATGACCCAGGCTTGACCTTCTCCCCCTGGTGAAGTCCAGAACTCTCTCTGTCCCTTCTTTGAGAATGGGACAGTGCTTCCTTATTTACTGGCATTATATGCTCCATTTCCTCCAGGTCTCGGCTCCGATGGTACCTCTCACTGAGACCCTCCCTGGCCACCGATCTGACACGTTCCTCAATAGAGACTGACTACATAACCCAGCTCCCTGCTTTACTTTTCCCATGACCTTTTTCACTGTGCAGCATACAGCGTATTTTATTTATTATGTTGTGTATTGCCTACTTCCGCCACTACACATAAGCTGGGAGAGGGCAGGAATTTGGGTGCATTGTCTTCTCTGTCCTAACCCTAGGGCCAGGTTCCTGGTACGTAGTCCACACTCAGTGAATATTGGTCATATGAATATTCGTCTCATGGGTCTGTACCTTGGGGGCTAGGGCTGGCACCTCATCTCAATAACTGTGGTTCGTCAAGAACTGGCATGCTGCCTTGACTGTCCTTCCACCCCACACCTGGGTGGTGCCTTCATCTATCTCAAAGGCGATGCCAAGTTTTCTGACCACGCTGCCTGCCAGCTCACAGCCCTGAATGCTGACTGGTCCTAGCTGCCTAGTTCCTGGAACTTTCTCACTGAAGTATCTGTTCCGACATGTTGTTGCCTATCCCTTCACTGACTCGAACTGTTGCTGGCCGCCTGGGTGCTGGCCCCCAGCTAGTCTTAAGAACTAGCCCATCCCAGTCTGCCCCGGTTAATTAACCTTCTCTGCGTGACAGCTTTACAAGACCGGACAGAGGGCAGAACACCCATGACGCTCTGTGAATTAAAATCCCAGCCAGAGAAAGCGAATAAGAATGAAGTATTTAGCCCACACTATGTTGGATGCTTGACTCTCCCCCCAGAGTTGTCTTGAAAAAAGAGTTGAAACATTTTGATGTAATTACTGATCCTGAAATTAATGTAAGAATAATCTTTAAAATCACTCTTGTATAATCATAATATTTAAGGCTAAACTTGCCTAGTAAAATCTTGCCTAGTAAAATCTAACACTGACTTTCCTTATTCCAAGTTCCTGGCCAATATCAGAGTTTTTCAATAGCCTCATTAGCTTCTCATTAAAAAGATTTCTTTTTCTGCCTTGAAATTGAGGCTTAATATAAAGAGTCTTGAAGCCTTCCACTGTAGGAGATGACCTTAGGCTTCTAAAACATGCAAGCAGCTTTTACTTCTCTCAGGTGTGCAGTGATCCCTCGGAGGGACTAAGGGCCAAAGATCAATCAGGGGACTGTAAGAGACAATGCTTTAATTGGGATCCCAGAGACAATAGATACCATCAGACTTTATCTCCAGAGAGTGAGTATTTCTGTATGATTAATGTCAGTACATGTGGAAACACCCACAACAGGTTGTATTTATGGGACTACATAAATATGAAGAAGGATCAGAAGGGTCAGTTGAGTGTCTTAGGAATTTTAGTCGGTCACTTAGAGCCCCCACTGAGTTATAGATAATGTTATAGGTCTGACTGACCTTATGACCCAGGCTTGACCTTCTCCCCCTGGTGAAGTCCAGAACTCTCTCTGTCCCTTCTTTGAGAATGGGACAGTGCTTCCTTATTTACTGGCATTATATGCTCCATTTCCTCCAGGTCTCGGCTCCGATGGTACCTCTCACTGAGACCCTCCCTGGCCACCGATCTGACACGTTCCTCAATAGAGACTGACTACATAACCCAGCTCCCTGCTTTACTTTTCCCATGACCTTTTTCACTGTGCAGCATACAGCGTATTTTATTTATTATGTTGTGTATTGCCTACTTCCGCCACTACACATAAGCTGGGAGAGGGCAGGAATTTGGGTGCATTGTCTTCTCTGTCCTAACCCTAGGGCCAGGTTCCTGGTACGTAGTCCACACTCAGTGAATATTGGTCATATGAATATTCGTCTCATGGGTCTGTACCTTGGGGGCTAGGGCTGGCACCTCATCTCAATAACTGTGGTTCGTCAAGAACTGGCATGCTGCCTTGACTGTCCTTCCACCCCACACCTGGGTGGTGCCTTCATCTATCTCAAAGGCGATGCCAAGTTTTCTGACCACGCTGCCTGCCAGCTCACAGCCCTGAATGCTGACTGGTCCTAGCTGCCTAGTTCCTGGAACTTTCTCACTGAAGTATCTGTTCCGACATGTTGTTGCCTATCCCTTCACTGACTCGAACTGTTGCTGGCCGCCTGGGTGCTGGCCCCCAGCTAGTCTTAAGAACTAGCCCATCCCAGTCTGCCCCGGTTAATTAACCTTCTCTGCGTGACAGCTTTACAAGACCGGACAGAGGGCAGAACACCCATGACGCTCTGTGAATTAAAATCCCAGCCAGAGAAAGCGAATAAGAATGAAGTATTTAGCCCACACTATGTTGGATGCTTGACTCTCCCCCCAGAGTTGTCTTGAAAAAAGAGTTGAAACATTTTGATGTAATTACTGATCCTGAAATTAATGTAAGAATAATCTTTAAAATCACTCTTGTATAATCATAATATTTAAGGCTAAACTTGCCTAGTAAAATCTTGCCTAGTAAAATCTAACACTGACTTTCCTTATTCCAAGTTCCTGGCCAATATCAGAGTTTTTCAATAGCCTCATTAGCTTCTCATTAAAAAGATTTCTTTTTCTGCCTTGAAATTGAGGCTTAATATAAAGAGTCTTGAAGCCTTCCACTGTAGGAGATGACCTTAGGCTTCTAAAACATGCAAGCAGCTTTTACTTCTCTCAGGTGTGCAGTGATCCCTCGGAGGGACTAAGGGCCAAAGATCAATCAGGGGACTGTAAGAGACAATGCTTTAATTGGGATCCCAGAGACAATAGATACCATCAGACTTTATCTCCAGAGAGTGAGTATTTCTGTATGATTAATGTCAGTACATGTGGAAACACCCACAACAGGTTGTATTTATGGGACTACATAAATATGAAGAAGGATCAGAAGGGTCAGTTGAGTGTCTTAGGAATTTTAGTCGGTCACTTAGAGCCCCCACTGAGTTATAGAGTTTTCTTCTCTTTTTATTATTTTGGCAGGAGCATTCCAATGAACTACTTGCAGGAGGAAGAAAAGGAGTGCCTTCTCTGGATGAGATCTGGAACATACAGACAGTGAGTACCCCAGCTGGGGAAAGGTTGCCCGCCATGCTGGATACTGTTGGGGTCTATGCTGGCAATGTAGGGGCCTAAACTGGGTTATGTAAGGGGTCTACGCTGGGTAATGTGGGATCTAATGTTGGCTAATGTAAGGGTCATTCAGTTGAACCCTGCTGCTGGAGACCTAAGGAAGTTGACAAGCTTATCCAGAGTCATAGAGTTTAGGTTTACTTTCTGCAAGGGAATCTCCTAAAAAGGTCCCACAGGACATGGAAACCGTCCTCGCACAGATAAACTTTTTCCTCTGTCCTCTTCTATTGTATAATAGTTAACTCAAAAGGCAGGAGACTATGTCTTTAGATTTTCTTAGGGGAGCAAGACGTTTTCAGCATGTCTCTAATGAAGGAGTTAGTGTTTAAGGTGGAGAAGAGTGGACCCTGAATGGGGTTTTAAGCTGGGGAACAGGGTGGACCGCGAGGCCCCAGTGGTTCTAGCTCCCGTATACACCTCAAGACTTGCACAGTCCTGATCCCCATTGCAGAGATCCAGGTGGCGGTGTGCCCATTCAGGCCTCACTGAATGCACCCTCCCCTCCACCCACGAAAGACCTCGCCCTGATGGTTACGTGAACTTTGAGGGGCACACAAAAAGTCACCGCGGTGAGGCAGGTCCAGGGCAGTTTCTGGAAACGTGACTAGCTAAACTCCTCCCTCGCGCGGTCCCGGGTCCCCAGCTGCAGCCTGCGCCCTCCCCGCCAGGCTCCAGTCCCAGCTCGGCCCCGCCCTTCTCCAGCTGAGCTCGGCCTCTTTTCACACCTGACTCCGGTTCAGGTCGCGCTCCCGCGCGGTGGGAACGACGAGCGGCAGAGGGTGGGCACTTGGAGGCAAGCCCTAGGACACACGCGAGGGAGTGTGGGCGGCCTCTCGCCCTCAGGAAGGTTGGCGGGTCAGGACAGACAGACAAAAGTCCACAACAAGCCAGAGCGGGGAGGGAGGAGGTGGAGCCGCCCCGGAGGGGCGGTGCCGCGGGGCGCAGAGCCCAGCCTCCCGCCCCCACCCCCTACGGTGCCTCAGTCTCGGCGGTGACACAAAAAGCTCCCGCTCGGTGGCGAGCGCCTGGCGGCTGTGTCCGACCCGGGACGCAGAGGGTGGCCCGGCAGGTGGGGGCGCCGCCCGAAGCGCCGGGCCCGGAGCAGGGCTGCAG